TATTTATATATATAATTATTGTAAATTTATTATAATTTTTTATAAAAATAATTAAAAAATTATCAAATATACAAATACTTAAAAGTATTGTTTCATTATAGACAAAACCTCCAACCGCAATTTGCAACCCATCTTAAAATTGCTGTCAACTTGCTATAACTTTTTATAATTTTTCAAAAAAATAACAAAAAAACTGTTACAATTTTATAATTTTTGAAAAAATTAATCCAAAAAAATTACAAGAAAAAATCCCCTACCTCAACCCCAAATACACCTTAATTTCCTGCATAATTAAGGGTTAAAACTCAATCAAAAGATGTCTTAAGTTTGGTTACCGAGGATGCGGATTAAAAAGAGACTAAAAGCTCTCTTTCCTCCAGAAACTTTGAAAAGCAGACCTCAATCAAAGTCGAGATCGTCTCCTTGCGCTCATTTACGACGACCGGCCTTGACTTCTGTGATTGAGTTGAGGAACGGCGGTGAGTAGAACAGAAGTCTTCTGGAATCGAACGAAAAATCTGGGAGAGATTTCGAACATTGAGGAAATAGAGAGAAATTTGCCAGAGTCTCCGACGGCAGTTACTGCGTTTTCCAGGAGAGAAAAGTAGGGATGGAAATTGAAATAGGACGGAAGACGGGAATTAATAAAAGATGATAAAGGAAGAGGAAAACGAGAAGGTTAAATCACCATTTTGGTATCTGAACTTTGAGTTTTAGACCAAGTTGGTCCTTGAACCTTGAAAATTACCAAATTGTCTTTAAACCTTATTTTTCGTCTTACTAAATTGGTCCTTTCGTCAACAGTGTTCGGTTGTGATGTTAATTTGCCGCGAATTCATGCTTTTTAATTTTAAATATTAGATGGAATTCCTTTTTTTTTTTTTTTGTTGGCTTATTATGGCTTTTACATGTGCATGTCTATACTTTAAAAATTAAAGCAATGATGTAAAATTTTAATACTCTTATCAACTAAACACTAAAACCTAATTGAGTTTAATTACAAAACTATCCATCCTTGCCTTCTTCTTCCTTTCTTGCTCTTTACTCTTCCTTTCTGACACCAAGGATATCTTTCTCCTTATCTCTTCTTTGGCATCAATGATCTCTTCCCTCTACCTTCATTGGTGCCCTCTTCATCTTTTCTTTGTGCCTCCGTCTCTTCTTCCCCTTCTCTTTCATCCCATCACTAATCTCTCATATGGCAAATCAATTAGGTTAGGTTCATTGCATGAGAACCTAGATTTGCCTACGAATATCCCACGGACTAATGATGTTGCTGTGAAACTAAAGTCTCCACTCTTCTACAGTTAGATTAGTTTGTGTGCTGTCTTGCTTGATTTTGTGGCCAAAATTCTCCTTTTAGCCGCTAAATGTTGGGAGAAGAATTATTGTTTTAATTGTAGTTTTGGTGGCTAGAACTATAGTTTGAGAATGTATATATGTTTCTTGATGTGTTTTGAAAGGTTGAATTTGATTTTGGGTGTGGAGGGTGTGGAGACTATTGGGGAGTCTATTGGGCCAGCTTAGAAGTGCACATGTGAAAGAGAAAAAACATATATGAGGAGAAGGAGAGAAGGAGATTCCACAAAATGAGAGTAGGAGATGTTGGAGAAGGGAGGGATGAGAGAAGATTAATTAAGCATGGGCCCCATTGTGTTTAATTTAATTTACTAAGAAAGCTATGATAATTGCACATTAAAAAATGATATTAGTGTACGACAAGTCGTTCTCTTAAAATTTTTTTGGAGAACTTATTTGAAAACATACTTTCTAATTAATATTTTTAAAAATCGATTATTATATTGAAAGTTCTATTCATGCAAATTATGTATGTTAATTTTCATATTGATGTAATATTATAACCTCTTGGTCAAATAAACTCTATTTAATGATATTAAATTTCTTATAATCAACGAAATGATTAGATCTATTAAAATAATTTAAAATTCACTATGCATAATCTACATAAATAAAATTTTTAATCTAATAGTTGGGTTTTAAAAATATTAATTAGAAGATAAGTTTTTAAACATATCCTTAAAAAAATTTAAGCGAATGACCTACAAAACTTTTTTTTCCTTAGAAAAAAAATTAAGGTAAGATAATAATTAGCACTAGAAAACCCACAATTTTAAAGTGAGTGAGTCCTACTATATTTAAATTATTTATTAAATAATTACTATGAAAATTTAAAAGAAAAGTCTTATGTGGAAATGAAAATTATTCATATTGGTAATAAAATAAGGTTTTTAATATATATTGTAAGAATACAAATTAAAAATATAATAAATACATATTTTTATCGTTAATTTGTGTTAAGAAAATAAAAATTGATATTTAATTTACTCACTATTCAATTAAATTTATATATCTAACAATAATATTAAAATTAATGTCAATTTTTATATTTTTTAATAACATTTATAACAAAAAATGTTGTTAATCTAAACTCATAGGGCACAAATTAGAAAAACTTATAAAATAATTTCACAATTTTCATGTAATATTTTAATTTTAAAATTTTGTATTTTAAGATCACGTAACTGTCCCTTTTAGCATCAGAAAATTAAAGTTTAGGGATGATGTTGATCATTTTGAAGTTTGGGAAGTAACTTGGTCAAAAACTTAAAGTTGAGGGACTAAATGATCATTTAACCAAATGAGAGGCGAAGTCTAGGTGCGGGAAGGTCAATCCCTTAAAAAAAAAGTCAAGTCAAGAACAGTCCCTCGCCTCTAAACAATTATTGTTAATGGGTCCCACATATTATAAAGTATAGTATAAAAAGATTGTCGGTTGTTGCAGGAACAAATTCGACCTTTGTTTTTTTGAACTAAATTTCAGCCACTCGATATGCACTATTAAGAAAGTAAAGTTTGCTTCCCTCAAAAAGAAAAAAAAAAGCTGGGGAAGAAGAAGAAAGTAAAGTTTGCTATGTGTCATAATCATGTCTGCCACTGCTACTAGCTTTTTGTAGTTGGGTCAACCAAAGTCCAACAAAATATCCTAATAACTAATAATATGATTAATCAAAATTAATTATCATTTTACGATATATATTATATATTAAATTTAATAAACTGTAAATTATATCGAATTGATTTTACGATATTTAATCAAAATGATTTTAAGTAAACTCTCAATTTTGGTAACCTTAATTACAATATTTTGTGTTCACCATTTCACCGTCCATGCTAATTCAGAGGATAGGCCAATTACCAAAGTTGGCTAAGTTTTGTAAATAAAATTTTCAGAAGAAAAGGTTCTATGGACTCGGGTCATGATTTGTACGACAAGGAGGAAATTTCAAAAAGAAAACGATCTATATGGAGAATAAAGGATTACCACAATGGTACTCGAGTTCTCTATATTATAAATTCCATAAGCACAAGTTAAAAAGAACATTACAATAAATGAGAATGTTGCTCCTCTCAACTTCAGGGGTAATATTAAGTAAACTAAATTACAATGCTGAAATATTCGGTTAACATATTAAGGA